TATTATTAATTTATTATTATTAAAGTCTACATTACATAATCCGTTAGTGAAGTATTTTAATTATATAATAGGGTAAGAAACCCGACCCTACGGGAACATCCATAAAAGAATACCCATGGTACAGGATGCGTTGCCGGCCTTTGAGGGAGAAGTATACTTTATTTTTAAATTTTTAGGACTAACATTTTTCTTTTCAATGAAGTTTGTTTTTCACTATGAATTTTTCGATATCGCTTTTATTAAGCCGTTCTATTCTCCATCAAAAGCATTATTATGATTTGTTTTCGTATTATTCCTTCATTCTAATCGCTTATGAATGGCTTCATTTTCGACAAACTTCCACATTCGAACTAGGTTCATAAATCAAAAGGGATAAAGCAAACAGAACTTGCAATGATTTGTTAGGAAATAATTGAAATAGATTCAATATTTACAATTCATAACTGTCGAAATAATATTTGAAGTTTACATATTCAGTAGTCATGGGCGGATCGTGATTTTGTGGGGCTTTGTTTGGGTTATTACGGGGAAGTCCCCCACGAAAAAATACGCCAAACGAAAACAAGCGACGGGGAATTCCCCGTTCCGTTCGATCGCATCGCACATGAGTTGATTGATCTCAGGGTACATTATGATTGGATTTTTAAAAATTCAGATATTTTTTAAATAAAAAAATCGCCTATAGTTTTCAGTGGGGACTGGGGGCCCTTTGTATCCACAGGGCCCTGAGCTGCAGCCCAAAAAGCCCTTAAGTAGTGAAAATATCTTAGTTTTGTAAGTACAACTAAATTTATTTGAGATTCTCTCGATTACATAGGATGCTTCACGTTGCATCCATACTCTGTGTAATTTGGTAATAACTTTGGCCAATAAAAACATCGTAACAGTGATTAAGAAACCTCAAAGATCTCGAGCTTTGGGTATTTTATTGTGTTATGGATTTTTAGTGATCAATTTTCTTAATAGGTAGATCAGCAGCCTCCTATACATATGCCATCGACTTTCTTGGGTCTAATGCGTGTCGGTTTCCTCACGATGTTTTCCATACGGGCAAGTGTTAATAAATAAGATCATAGGTTCACAGTCGGGGTATACGAAATTAGTGGCTAAGAAGCAACTGTTCAATGCTACCAGCATATATAAAATAAAAAATAAATCAGTGGCGCTACCTTAGGTCTGGGCCTTAAATTTCTGAATCTGATTCATAATCATCTAATAGGCAAGTAGGTGATCAGCCTTCTGTGTCTGACACACACCGTCGACTGGTTTAAAGCAAGCCTCGATGTTTTCCTTCACCGTTCGAGCGAATGTTAAATGCGCACATAAAAAGAAAGTTCATTAGTCCACAGCCGGGGATCGAACCTTCGACCTCAGGGATGAGAGTCGCACGCTGAAGCCACTAGGTAAATACTGCTATTTTTCGGGTCGTATAGGTATATAAGTACCATAAAATATTAGCATATCATAAATGTTTTTTATCTTACCCCTTTGAGTCCACGATGCCCGCATTTTGTTCCAGAACACAATAAACCGTGTATAAACAGAGGTATTTTAAAGTAAGGCAAAATCTCATCACAATATCTATGAGCAATTTCTTTTAGTGTTAGCTATTGTTGGTATACATTTATGCATTACTTTCTTGAATACCCATTTGTATGTTGTGCATATCAACTGTTTGATTTATACAATCCTTACTGGGTTACAATATAAAAACTAAAAAATCTTTATAACAGTTTCATAATTCCGATAGTTAGGAATTTAATAATAATAATTTATTGCATGAATATGGTACAAAAATGTATAAGGTGGTACAATCGTAAGTTCGCATATTCTGCCACACACGAAGGCGCGCCAATTTGTCTTTCAAGGAATTTTACTTTTTACATTATTAATCATATGAATTATATATAATATATATATACAAATATTCAGGTGCCACTCAGTGAGCGAAGGTTAGTTGTTAAAAAATATCTTGGTGTTAGTCGAAACGGTTATTCGGCGGATGTAATGCCGCTCCACTTCCGTATCGCGACCACTTCATTCTTCTACCTACCGCCTTTTCCCTCATGGCAAAATTCATATGAGTTCAATACCTACAGGTAGACTAAATCACATATGAAATAAATATTAAATTTAAATAAAGACTATCGGCTAACCTACAGATTCGTTTAGTTTAAAAAAATCTTGAAAGGTATTAATCAAATGGAATCGTCGCCTTAATATTCCAAGCACGTTCGTCAAGTCAATTAGGAAAGGGAAAGATATTCCTGGAATTCATTATTTTTGACCGTTGATTTTGACGTAATATTTTTTATTTAAAATGACCGGCTAATAAATTGGCTTGCTATAGCCTTAATTAGCTTAATATTTTGTCACGTTTATTTCGAGAGCAGTGTTGGCCTAGTGGCATCAGCGTGCGACTCTCATACCTGAGGTGGTAGGTTCGATCCCCGGCTGTGCACCAATGGACTTTCTTTCTATGTGCGTATTTAACATTTGCTCGAACGGTGAAGGAAAACATCGTGAGGAAACCGACATGTCTTAGACCCAAAAAGTCGACGGCGTGTCTCAGACACTGAAGGCTGATCCCCTACTTGCCTAAAGAGGTTGTAGCGCCACTGATTTATTTATATTTTTATTTTTATTTCGAGACACGATATCAATTAGCTGATAAGCTTTGAGTGCCTGACACGCCTTTTTGATTTTTTTATAGAGCAGGGAGTTAACCGGCAGGAGGCTCACCTGATGTTAAGTGATACCGTCCTAGGACACAAGTGCGTTGCTGTTTTAAGAATGGGTACGCTCTTTTCTTGAAAGACCCTACGTGGAATTGTTTCGGAAATACTTCAGTGAGCAGCTGGTTACACATAGTAGTGGTGTGACCGATCCGTTTGCCAAACTCCAAAAAAGTACAATATTTCTTTCCATTTTTCGTCATCGTTTCTTGAAGTAGGGAGAATGGAAAAAATATGTGGTGGAGTTGAGAAGTTTATGTATCCATTTTGAAAGATCGATACACGATTTAAATAACTTCGCTCGATAGAACAAAAATCCAAACTTAGCCAATTTTTGACACGTTGAATTCATTTAATGACAAAAATTTATAAAGAACATGATTTTGAAATTTACACGATATATTTTATCGCCAGCCAACTAGTTGATACATTAATTTAATGTTTTACATAACTAATTGTTTTTACGGGCTGGCGCGCCTCAGTGCTCCAGCTCTCCACTGCGCCCCGCAGTCCACCCCGAGACACTGACAGCAATTCGTGCTGGGATAGGGCCTTAAAAAACGCTCAGTTGTAGAACGACGGACGTCGAGGTGAAGCGGGTGGAATTTCGTATTCTGCCTCGACGTCCATAGAAAGGAAAGTCATTGGTGCACAAATAGGGCTCCAACACCGAAGAGTTGAAAAGTTCTTATACTTTACACATTATATATTATCGTAAGGAAATAATTCCTTTTTCATTTATTAAATCCCGTTTGCGATTATCATATTTCTTAAGAACAGTCGTATGAATGGGAAACTTTTCCAATTAAGTATTTATGAACTGGAAATAAGTTTTGCTTCAACGGTTGTGTCTCCCTTTTAAACTTATATTCCAAACTTGTACCCGATTCCGCGCGGGTGTATCACGTAGTAGTTAATTATATATATATTACTAGCTGTCCCCGCGAACTTCGTTTCTCCTTAATGTGATTTTACTTAGCCTACCTTTTTAGTACATACCAACATGAAACATTTTGCTATGCTAACCCAGAGACAATTTTTCTAGGTTTTTCTGTGAATTTTTTTCTATATACATATTATGTTTTAATTGCTTTGTTTTGTTCCATTAGTTTCGTCGAAATACCTCTGTCTTATGTATTTTGGCACTTCTTGCTTACCTCATCTAATTTCATTTAAATTTTTTTCTCCTAGTGATCGCCTGGAAGACGTCGTTCCAAAGCGATAAGGCCGCCTTTAATTATGACAATTGGAGTATTTTTCTGTATGCATAGAAGAATAAATAAATAAATATTTTATACTTCGTCATAAAGAAATCTTAAGTTAAACCACATTGCTATGCTTACTACTGTAGGTATATACATATATAGTCTAGTCGACAAGTTGAAAATGGTACAAAATAGAGATACTGCTCTTAAAATTATGTGCGATAGCTCATGGGATCCGGAATGACGTCTAGAAAAATGTGCCAAAAGCGTGTATGCCAATTGCCAATATTTAATAAACTATTAATATTTAAGAAATTGTTATAAACTAATAAAATGTTGTTAAAGTAAAAAAATTATTATAAACAAAGTATAATTATTTTTTTAAACTTTATGACACGTTCTTTTATAATATATATACTTTTGGTTGTCTATGATGAAAATTTATTGATCGCGATCTAATCTTCACCCCACTGAGCGTGGTTAGAAAAATTTAATTAAGATTAAAATCATAATATTGTTTGCGTTCGACCCTCCTTAGGGGAAGTGACGGTGTACTTCGATTTCCGTTCCATCAAAAATATAGCCTGATATGAAAGTTATTCGCTATAAAATTCTTATAGATACCAAAAGGTCTATTATAATCTATGTCTATTAAAATAACAATATGTATCGTGTATACGCATGACAAGTTTTTTTTATAATCCTTGGATGTTTGTCATAAATTTACGTTAAATATACTATTGTACTTTTATTTTTAATAATATTGTATATATATGTATATTAACCATGAATACCATATATTGATCATGAATACGATGGTCTATACACTATGTTATAGTGCGTATGTATTGAATGTCGTAGAGGGCTCGTGATTGTGTTGCCGGCATTTTAAGAACAAAAATAAAAAAAATCGTAGTACTATGGTTCAGATGCTGTGACTATGGACTGTGAAGTCAAGTAATTTTCGGATAATCTGCACAGTTTTTTCCCACAAAACAAATCACTACGTACGAACTAGTCTTTTATAGTGTATTTATCAAACTTTAATTTGTTTCAGAAAATGGATCCGGAACTCTTCGAAGAAATGGAGGTGACGACCAGTCGATCACTAGCCACCACTCTCTTCCCTGGACACGGCAATATCACGCAGAATGCCACCGACTTGAACATGTTCTTTTTCTATGATGTAAGTTCTAGGTACTCGTTTGCTACTTTATTAGTTTTTGTCTAATAAAGTAGCAATGCGATTGCTCATCACCCGATTCATTTTAAACCAGACAACAGGAAGATTAATAAAGTCGAATTCAATAAAGTTTATTATCCTTAGGAACATCTTGTTGATTATCAGAAAACGTATCATCGGAGATTCAAATATTATGGCATATAGACGCCGCGACAGCACAAATTCCCTCTCTCATTGAAGTCTCTCTTTTTGGCCAAATGAGACAGGTCACTTCGAATGAAGTGCTTTTGTACCACGGTCAGTAACGCTGGACTTACGGGTGTGTTGCCGGTCTTTTAGGGATTGTTACTCTCTTTTATAAAAGCATTTGTCGTATCGGTTTGAGAATCTCTCTGCTTGCTACTTCTGCTGGTACCAGTCTGAACAATACTTCAAAAACTTCTGAAACCAACTTTACTCTTGACTTTCTGGTATCGTCCAAGTCCAGTGGCTAAATAGCTTTACATTATCTCCTTTATTTACTTCATAAATGGACCATGCGTATGGAAGTAGCACTCATACACTGAAATATACAATCACATAAAGTAAATTGCGCCCACACGTTGAGGTAGATTAGTATAATAAAAGCTGAAAGGTTTAATCGTGTAATGGGCCGTTGTCGTCATGGATAGATAAGAATTATTTAATAGATATGAGATTTTAGTCTGTGATATTAAATTTTTCAGTGGCTCAACAACTTTTTGTGGGCTTTACATTTCTACATTGCATTGATAATTCTCAGTTCCCGGAAGTGGCCTTACACAGAACGCGTTGGTTTTATTGTGTATCGATTTAGATTTAGAATACGAAATTCCACCCGTATCACCTCGACGTCCGCCGTTCCACAACTGAGCGTTTTTTAGGCAGTTTTTGCCGCGCTGACTGAAGTATTTCCGAACCAATTCAACTTCTTAGGAGTTAGGGTTCTTCAAGAAAAGAGCGTACCAATTTTTAAAATTCCGGCAACGCACTCGCAAGCCCTCTGGCATTGTGAGTGTCCATGGGCCGCGGTATCACTTATCATCAGGTGAGCTTCCTGCCCGTTTGCCCCCTGTTCTATAAAAAAAATGTACATATAAACAGTTAACACACACTAGCATTTTCAAAGGAGTAATTTCCGCGTATATATTGGTCGTTTTTTGCGTGTCTATAGAGACAGCATCCGGCAGCCGACTTTTCAAAAAAGTTTGCATATATTTTGTACATATTCCATTTTCAAACTACAAATAACGTGCCGATTTGAGTTATTGCCAATACGGATGTGTATTCGACTGCAAGTTGAACAATCGTTTGATGTACCGCTTCCTACACAATAAATGCGCTAGAGTATCACGTACGAATGGTCAAATACAATAATGTTGACGTTATAGCGTTTTTGGCACGCACTCACGCCACGCTGTACTGTCAATAAAATGAAATTTATTTTGACGTAAACCACAATGTTTTAAGGTGGAGTTTTTATTGAATTATAAGATAGTTCCGCTCGTGCGTACTTTTGTCGTATTCTAGAGTTTTTGGATAGTAAAAAATACATAAATTGACAAGGGGCCACTTCTTCATTCTTCTTCTTTCAGTCATTCATCACTTTCCATAATCTTACAAAACACGCCATTTAAAGTATTTTCGCAACAGAAAAAGTAATATACTGCTCAAAACAATTAGCGGAACAAGATTTTTCTCCTTTCTATTGCTTAAACTAAAATTAGATTTAAATTAACTTGTACGCTATTTTTTACCTTGTTAATTTGTTAATTACTACAATTAATAAAAAAATCAATTTGTATTTTTTTTTATTAAAAAAAAATTAAAATGTGCATTGTAGACGAAAAACAAAGTGACGTCTTTGAATTTTCATTACTTTCTAATCACAGAAAACACATTTTAAGTAGTTTTTTTCAATCTTTTGAGTATTAATAGAAATTGAAGTGAGCCTTTTGAGTATTGTTATTCATTGAAGCGAGTGAGTTTAGGTCATAATGCCAGATCTGACTGAATTGCATGTCTCCCGAGCTATCGCTTTGCTTGAAGAGGGTCGAACTATGCGTTATGTAGGAAATGATCTAGGAGTAGCCCCTTCTGTTATCTACAGACTTTAGAAGCGATACCGTGAGACGGGAGAATAAGGCGTGGTCAAGGTCGAAAGAGAAAAACTACACGTTTGCAAGATCGCTACATCGTCAACTGTGCTTTACGTAACCGCACCACAACTGCAAGAGATCTACAAAATACACTATGGACGGCTACTGGTGTAGAAATTTCCGACCAGACGGTAAGAAATAGGTTGTTGGAAGCCAATTTGAGATCACGCCGACCAGTTCGGGCTGTGCGTCTAACAATTCAACATAGACAAGCTCGCCGACAGTTCGCGCAAAATCACGCTAATTGGTAACTTCGACATTGGAGGCCAGTGCTTTTTACTGACGAATCACGATTCCGTCTAACACGTTGCGATGGTCATCTCCGTGTTTACAGACGCCCAGCCGAGCGATACAGTGCAGCAGCAGTCCAGGAATATGACAAATTTGGATGTGGCTCTGTGATGGTTTGGGGCGGAGTTAGTTTGGACGAGCGCACAGATCTCGTCGTTGTTCCCGGGCGCTTGTGTGCTCAAACTTACATTGAAAATGTGCTCGAAGATCATGTTTGGCCCGCAGCATATTATGGTATGGGCCCAGATTTTCTTTTAATGCAAGATAATGCCAGGCCGCATACTGCAGCCATCACGTCAGATTACTTACGACAGCAGGAAATCCGTGTAATGGAGTGGCCTTCCATGAGCCCTGACCTAAATCCAATTGAACACATTTGGGACTTGCTTGACAGGCGCATCCAGAAGCGTCCGATTGCACCTCAAACACTGCAGCAGCTCACTGAAGCGTTGATTGAAGAGTGGGAGCGAATTCCACAAGAAGATATTCGGAGGATCATACGAAGCATGCCGCGTCGTTGTCAAGCCGTGATTAGGGCTCATGGAGGCCACACACGTTACTGAAAGTCACTAAAGACGAATATTCAAACGATATAAGAATATTTCTTTGATGGACCTTTTTTATCACCAATTAGTTTTTCGTCTACAATGCACATTTTAATTTTTTTTAATAAAAAAAATACAAATTGAATTTTTTTATTAATTGTAGTAATTAACAAATTAACAAGGTAAAAAATAGCGTACAAGTTAATTTAAATCTAATTTTAGTTTAAGCAATAGAAAGGAGAAAAATCTTGTTCCGCTAATTGTTTTGAGCAGTATGTATATATATATAACTTAATATGTACGCGTGAACCTAAAGAAATTTCGTTAATATACTAAAAATCTTCTTTAACAAAGATGTTATCTTAAAAATTTTGTGAACTGTACAATCAATCTCATAGTATTGAGTTAAAATTAGCAGTCTGGTACAAATGCTATTTTTAATACGACATTCAATAAAGGTTATTAACCCAGAAATGTGTGTCAGTGGTAATTTTGTACAATCCGTACGTACAGTAATCTATTTTTAACATATGCATAATATAGTTTTTTCATACCATCAAGTAATAAATCTCTTAGGGGCCGTTCAAGTATTACGTAAGCAGATTTTCAGATACCGGCAAACATCTTGAACAAATGTCCTTGCCTGCGCAGAAGCGATTTTTAGGTATCACTGGGAGGGCGGGCGGTGGCGCGTGATTGGTAAATCAGTTGACTTTTGTGTCCTAGATGCGCAAAGTTTCCCCCACTCCCTAGTTTAATGCTCAAGAAATTTGCCGGTAACTGTACTGCAATTGATCCCTCTCCCCCCTTCCTCTTGTCCGGAAAGTAAGCAAATGCTCTCAAAAATAATAGTACATAAACCATTGATATACAAAAAACCCAAGATGCACAGTCTCGAATAAAAGTAACGCTCGAAAGTGTCCCGAAACACTATTTCTGTCCATAACAGTATATGTTACAAGCATATATTATTGCAAAATCAACCTTACGCGAATAGCTTAAAGTTGTTATTACAACGCAGGGTATACGTACTTAAAGCAATATAATTTTACGACCGACCGTGGTCGGTAGGACAAGGTATTGAGTGGAGTCGAACATGACCTTTTTATTTACAACTATTTAACATAATTTTAAATTTATCCGACTTTTCGGGTGCTTTACAGCGTGAGTGGTCACGGTGACTGAAGACAAAAGGTGTTGGATGTTAAATAGTTGTAAATTTATAATAATACATAACATTAATCCGGTTAAAAAGTTTTTTCTTTAAATTAAAAAAAAATGTTAAATTGGCTACCTCCTGACCCACACTTTATATAGCGTAAATATATTTGTCAAAAACTATACACAAAAAAGTTCAAGAGTACATAAATTTATTTATAAAAAAACACAAATAAATAACATCGACTTTTTTTTTTTTTTTTTTTTTTATATAGAACGGGGGCAAACGGGCAGGAGGCTCACCTGATGTTAAGTGATACCGCCGCCCATGGAAACTCTCAATGCCAGAGGGCTCGCGAGTGCGTTGCCGGCCTTTTAAGAATTGGTACGCTCTTTTCTTGAAGGACCCTAAGTCGAATTGGTTCGGGAATACTTCAGTGGGCAGCTGGTTCCACATAGTGGTGGTGCGCGGCAAAAACTGCCTTGAGAAACGCTCAGTTGTGGAACGTCGGACGTCGAGGTGATACGGGTGGAATTTCGTATTCTGCCTCGACGTCCGATGATGAAACTCAGCTGCAGGTATTAATCCGAACAACTCCTCTGAACACTCTCCATGGTAAATGCGGTAGAAGATGCAGAGTGACCCCACATCTCTACGCAACGCCAAAGGATCAAGCCGCTCGGAGTGGGATTGGTCGTCAACGATTCGAACCGCTCTGCGTTGTATACGGTCAAGTGGAAGGAGCTGGTACTGGGGAGCCCCCGCCCAGAGGTGAGAGCAGTACTCCATGTGGGGCCGAATTTGCGCTTTATATAGTTGCATGCGGTGGCCCGGAGTGAAGTACCGTCTCGCCTTACTGAGCACACCAAGCTTTTTGGAGGCTAATTTAGCCTTTCCCTCCAAGTGACCGCGAAACTGAACGTCGCTCGATATGTCAACGCCAAGTATTCCAATGCTGGCTGTGGCTTTAAGAAGAGTGTTTTCGAAAAGAGGAGTAGCGACAAAGGGTGTTTTTTTAGCGGAAAACGCGCAAACTTGTGTCTTCTTGGGGTTAAATTGGACTAGGTTTTGTCTGCCCCAATCTGAGACTCCACGAAGTAGAGTTTCAACTTCAGACACAAGTTTGTTCCGGTACTCATCAACAACTGCCCGAGAAATACCTGCCCGGCCAGTGTAAAAAGTATCCCCAGTACTGTCATCCGCATAGCAATGAATGTTGCTAAGTTTCAACATATCATTGATATGCAGAAGAAATAGGGTCGGGGATAGAACACAGCCTTGTGGGACCCCAGCGTTTACGGGTTTTAGGTCGGAACATGCTCCGTCGATGACGACCTTGATGCTCCGATCGGCCAGAAAGCTGGAGATCCAATTGCGTAATTTCTCGGGAAGCCCATAGGCTGGAAGCTTCGAGAGCAGTGCTCTGTGCCACACCCGATCGAAGGCTTTCGCTATGTCCAAACTAACCGCTAGCGCCTCCCCTTGGACTCAATTGCCTCTGCCCATCTATGTGTAAGGTATACAAGAAGGTCACCAGCCGAACGACCACGACGAAAGCCGTACTGATAATCGCTAATCAGCTGGTGGCCCTCTAGATACCTTAAGAGCTGGCAATTAACAATGGATTCCATTATTTTGGAGAACAAGGAGGTTATAGCTATTGGGCGATAGTTGGACGGATCAGAGCGATCGCCTTTTTTAGGGATCGGATGTATCAAAGCGGTCTTCCAGCACTTCGGGACAGTGCCGAGCGAGTACAGGTACCGGAAAAGGCGCGTTAAGACCGGAGCCAACTCAGGAGCACAAGTACGCAGCACAATTGGGGGGATACCATCCGGCCCGCTCGACTTATGAATGTCCAAGGAAGATAGTGCTTTGCGGACAGCACGTTGCCGGAATGTGATTTCCGGCATCGAAGAATCACACCGCGAAATGGTCGGTGGTGATCTCCCTCGGTCATCCAAAGTCGAGTTAGACGCGAAGAGACAGCCCAAAAGGTCAGCCTTCTCCTTCGCAGTGTGGGCCAGAGAGTCATCCTCCCTGTGCAGTGGCGGAATGGCGGGCTGACAAAAATTCCCTTGGACAGCTTTGGCGAGAGACCAGAAGGCTCGAGTCCCTGATGGGAGTTGGGCCAATCTCTCGCCAAATCTGGCAATGTGCTCTGACTTTGCCTTAGTGATTTCCCGTTTGAAGGACCTGGAGGCTGAGTTATATGCTTTTTTAAGTTCGCTGGTATTGGCATCACGAGATTTCGCCGCTTCCGCCCATGCCTTAAAGCATTCTCGCTTTCGACGCGAGGCCGCCTTGCAAGAACGTTTAAACCAGGGCTGAGACTTGCCACCGATCGGCACCGCAGAAAATGGAATAAAGAGTTCCATGCCCTGCAGAACCACTTCGGCGACAGAGGCGGCGACGGAATCTGGAGCTTCCGGCGAAAAGCACATAGGCCCCCAAGGGTAGGACGCAAAGAAAGACCGCATCCCGTCCCAATCTGCTGACTTATAGTGCCAAATACGGCGACAACCCATAAAGCGGGGCCGTGAAGGGCGCGTAGATGGCACAGTACTCCGGACCACACAATGATCTGATGAACCCAATGGCGGGTCAACAGAGACTTGATAGTTCTCCGGATGAGAAGTCAGCAGAAGGTCCAACAAAGAGGGTTTATGACCATCCACATCTGGTATTCGCGTAATCGCAGGGACCATTTGTGTCAGGTCGTAGGCTAAAGCAAAGTCGTGAAAGGATCTTCCCGCGTGATCGGTGGTTTCAGAGCCGAGCCAATCGGCATGGTGGGCGTTAAAATCGCCAAGTATCACGATTTCAGCGGTAGGAACCCTTTCGAGCAGGGAATCTGTAGCCATTTGGATGTGCTCAATGAGTCGGTCAGTTTCGGTATTTCCGCTATGGGACCTATACAGGCATGCGTAGAATCGCGGATGGTCATCGCAGTCTACGCGCAGCCAGAGGTTAGATAGGTCCCTTCCTTCAAGCGTCCCGAGGCGACGAGAACAGATATCCTCTCTGACGTACACGCAAACTCCAGCCCGCGGCACAAATGAATGTTCCAATTTGTACCCCGGGTAGGATAGGTGGGAAGTATCAGCCGGGGAGGATATCTGTGTCTCGGTAAGAAAGAGCAAGGCCGGCTTCGCAGTCTCTAGATGATAGTGGACAGCGTTGATGTTAGAATTAAGCCCCCTAACATTTGTGAAGTCCACGGCGAGTGTGGACGGGGGTGCCTTTGTATAATTGCTCCGTTTGCCCCGAGGACGATTACTATTTTTGTAGAGCGCAGAATTGCCCCCCAGAATACGAAGGGCAGCCTGTGCGTCCACCACCGGGTGCTGAGTGTCCCGGTGGTGGACGCCCAGAGGGGGATTCTCCACCGCGAGCGCGTGTGGTACCCCCTGGGGTAGATTCTGTTTTTTCTGCACCTTCATATTTCTTGTGTGTGGGGGGATGGGCTCCGGGAATCTCTCTCACCGCACGAAACGCGAGTACAAGAAGGCGAACCTTTTGCATCACTTCACGCCGGTTTTCTGACTCCACTTATAGACGCGAGACTATTTGAAATGAGCGCACAATTTAGAATGTTGCGCTCATTTTTTGAGGACGTTTTTTAGACGTTGATTGTGCATCTTGGGTTTTTGTATATCAATGACATAAACATATTAATTTTTTGTAGGATTCCTCTAAAATGCATTTCGTTTTCGCTTGAAAACAAAACGATAGACAATGTAATATGTGTAAAAAAGTAAATAATTACTGTTGACGTTATCACCAAATAAGAAAATCAAAGACCCCCCTCCCCCCTATCGTGCTTACGTAATACTTGAACGGCCCCTTACCAATAACAATGTAAAAATGAATCGAGGCATCTTATCAAGATACAATTGTTTCCAAATCGATCCTATCGAACCCAGAAGGGATTGCACGCGCAAAACATCTTTTGTTCAGAGGTTTATTAGAACCTGTAAGAGAATGCCTTAAGGAATTTACGCTACCATTATCAAAGTTATATTTCTTATATAATCAATTTCAGTAACATAATTAATAATACTTTTTATTTACAGTATATTCAGTTTCCGGTGATGTGGCTGCTCTTCGTGTTGATCGTTCTCCTAAACGCATCAGTGATAGCTGCACTGCTCTGTACTAATGCGAGGAAAAGTCGAATGAATTTCTTCATAATGCAACTCGCGATTGCTGGTAAGTTTAATAATAATGTTCTGAAGTCATAGAGGCCATCTTTTGAGACTTTTGAAGTGAAAATGGCGTTGTACACTTTTTTTGGAATGGGTAAAAAATGTTAAACTCGCGTCAGGACACGTGACCTGATCGAAAATTCGTAAGACGGATGGAGAGTAGACAGCTGGCGCGGCGTATTTAGTGTAATATAAATTGTCATGTTTGTACCACATAAATGATAGTACTTTTATACTGATAATTAAATCAATTCGTGAAAAATTATTCCCTAACCATTCCAAAATATCAATCATTCAATATGCACAACGTTTATATTCAAGTTTTCACTTCTGCCGACACTCCCGTCGTTTTTTTTCCACTTAACTGATGTTAAGCCGCCGCCGCACATGGACACACTCAATGGCAGAGGGCTCGCGATTGCGTTGCCGGCCTTTTATGAATTAATACGCTCTTCTTGAAGGACCCTAAGTCGAATTGTTTCGGAAATACTTCAATGGGCAGCTGGTTCCACATAGTGGTGGTGCGCGGCAAAATATGCCTTAAAAAACGCTCAGTTGTGGAACGATGGACGTAAAACCTGAGCCTAGCATATACATGTAGATGTATAATTTAACGAAAAGTTTTAACATATATAAAATTTAGCCCACCTTGACTCAAATATTATTTAATATACCCTAATGGGAAAGGCAAAGGACTTAGTACATACAGCCAGGTCTTGTTCTTGGTAATAATTGGAGAATTTTGGTAGTTTTAATGGCCGAAGCCACGTCTTAAGTAGTTAGGAATCCTCCATCTTGGAACCCCAAATATTATTTAATTAACAATTTTAACACAAACTGATAATCTACTTAATGTCAAAAATTAAGTTACTATATGTAAAATTTCTAGTACATAAACTATATCTCGTCTAGGTGGTATTAAAAACAAAAAAAATCTGTATAATTGTCAGTCTCTCTCTCTATTCTCCCAAAACCGGCGAGGTTTCTGATTCAAATTCAAATTCAAATTCAAAAATCATTTATTCACGTAGGTAACACAATGTACACTTGTGATTCGTCATTAAAGAAATACATATTAATGCTTCTAATTTTACATTTACTGCCAGTTCTCAAATCAAGGGCGTAGAACGGAAGAGAAGAACTGGCAATAAACTCTTCGCCACTCTTTTTAATCGCCATGTTTTTTTTACACAACGTTTGTAAGGAGCTGCAACCATTACACCATGTTCCAGATGACATCTTAAGTAATTAATAATAATAACATAAATTAAAAACAAAGACTTGTCCTCTATCAGCAGGAGGCATGGTGAAATAGGAGCACGCACTTACATTCTCGTGGGAACAACACGCAAACACATAGTCGAAATAATTAACATCACCGCATACACGAATTCAAGTACGACCAGTCACCACAAGTAGCACCCGTTCACGAGTATGACGCATGGCCAGCCATCGACCCGGACCGGCATCGGATTTGAGTTGCAATACGAGTGTCAATTTCCGAAATCAATAATCCTCTTACACCAAAAGTCTAATTCCATTTAAGGATTAAAAGTCATAGTTCAAATAGTTGTTACCTTCGCACAAGGGAAGCGCATTTTAATTCCTAGTCCACCTCCGTGGCTCAAAATTCCTTGATTTCAATGCTTACGTAAAATATAGATGAAACACAGTGTTTGCTTATTTACGGGAAGATGTTTTTATGGAACCTGTAAAAACTATAAAAACCTTACAATACCAAGTTGGTTTGTCTCGAATAGATTTTATTAAAACCTGAATGATTTTCGTTCGTCCCAAAGTGTTAAAATGCTTATTCACTGAACCTGCCTAAGTTTGTAAAACACTTTGCTTCACTTGCAATCAAACCCCAAGCAAACAACTATATGTAACTCCATCGTAATACTATCAAAAAATGGGTAAGAATATAAAAAGACAGCATGCTAAATAATATTGTCATATCATAGACTCTGTAAAGAATAACTTATTGCTCTGAATGCGTAACCGTCTTAGACCGGACCGGCTATTAATCGACTTCCCTCATAGGGAAGGTCCTCTCGGAACATGCAACGCTTTCGCCTTCCCCACTAATCACAATCAAACGACACTCCTCATTGTGACATGTAACATCCATGAGAACATTTAACTAACATAGCTCATTTGCCCAGATTTTCGGTTGACATTTACAAGTTTTAAAATAGTTCGCAAATTATAAACCAACATTGTACAAAACCCTAAAGGTTAATCGGTCCTTTCACCTTAATTAATGAACAAAACTTATTTAATTTGTAGAATATTTGGTCCATCTACTTTGATGATGCAATTCTAAAATGAATATATACTATAAGGTATACAGACAATGCGCAAACCTTTACCCCCATTTATTTTATACCGACGTATAAACGCAGCAATGAGAATCTACAGAATGATCAGTTTTTTTGCTACTGCAGAGTAGTTGATACAAGTATTTTTTTTTGACAATTGTCATGTTATGTAGTTAGTGTTCTGTGCATATGATAACGATTGATTGTTGTAACCTGTGCATTCTATGAAGAACCTAGAACTTTCAATAGTTTTTTTTTAAATGTAATTTCTTCAATTTGCGGCTTTATAATATCTAACAAAAAAGATCAATCAATTAAAAAACTCATATGATTACAGTCCGTTTTAAGAGGTACAAAATTTGTTTGGAGGTCTAACATTTTTTAATAAATTCAATTCAAGAAGTGAATATTTTCTTTAGAAATTACTTAAAGATTCTCTGGAAATTCTACGATATACGTCAAAAAAATACATTTGCACAGCCAGTAGGTGTATTTGAACACAATTTGCTCGCGTAACTACGGAGCTTAATTCTTAAATATTATATAAATAAAATTTTGTTTGGAGTATTTTATTAAGGAGTCAAAGCAAAACATATATTTGCACTTTGAAAATGTCTACTCTTCTAAGATGAATTACATTTGATATAAAGAATGAGAAACATTTAAAATTTCTCCGAAATTTACGAGTCCCTCACGTCAAGTAAACACTTTTCGTCGGGTTGTATTGTTTGTCTCTATCGTATTTCAAAAATAATTTTGCAAGTATAGTGCAGAATGTTAAATTAAAAATGTTTTGTGAGACATGAATTTTTAATCATATTTAGTAGTAATTGAAAAAAATACCAAAATCAAAATTTGACCAACTCAAAATGACATTATTTATTACACTCAATTGCCTTTTAAAAGCTTTTAAACGTGGTGAAGTTTTAAGAACGTTATCCTAAATTTTAGTGAAATTGTTTTAAAAGCATTTATGAGCTTAAAAGTTTAGGCAGTGAAATGGAACTAAACGGAATAACGTTTATTTAGAAACTATGTGTTTGAAATACGAATAAATTTTTAGTTTCTGATTTAAAAAAAACTAATTGATGGGTTCTGTGTAAATTAAATTCCTTACCAATAAATATGACTATTTATTTCAACTGAATCGATTTTATTAATCAATTCACATTAAAGAAAATTAAACTAATCTTATTTGGAAAAATAATAAAACAGCTAATCATAGACATCCGCCATCTTGTCTGTCAATTACTTCAAGTGTCTTTGGTGGCAGTAACAAACTCCGCTGTCACGGCGATGACATTTACAATACGTAACCACGCTGTGGTGACATATGTCAGTAAATTTAATAGGAAGTGACCCAAAACATTGTACGTAGTAGTAATAGTTGACTTATGAATTTGTAATAAAAAATGTTAAGGTAGTGTATACGTAAGATACAATTTAAATAATATTTTCATAAACAAATAAAAAGCTCATCTGTTATCAAAACATTTCATTGCTATGCGGAAACATAGTTTCAAAACAGCACTTAAAAATAATGATATTCATGGAACAAACACTTTGACCATTTTCTCTTTGAGGAGATCTCATCGCTTCAATACATCCATCAACGACCCCTTCCTCGACTGAAAGACGTGTCAAAAATCTAAAGTAGAGAAATATCAAGACAAACGATTATAGCCTCTATTACGCAGGAATAGCGATTTACAATGGTAATCGTAAATTGATAGTAAAAAGTTTTAAGATTTTTCTTATAAAGGCTGCTTCATAATGGATTGTTAATATTTCTTGACGTAAGCAATACTTCTCGTATAAACCTCTGCTTGATTATCGTGATTCATAGATTCCCTTTAAAATTATTGTTTATTTCTATACATATACTAACAGTTAATTTTAATCTTGCATTGTCAGTTTCACACTGATAGATAACAACGATTTGAATTCGATTCGAATTGATGTATATTATTATATCTTATACTAGCAGACTCGGCCAAGCGTTGCTGTGGCTAAGGTTTTTGTTATATTACATAGTATTAAACTATTCAAGGGAAACGGTAGGAGAACACCAGTCATGGGGACCACCATGCTTTTTTGGTGGTTATGCCATTAAATTGTAGCTTATGTGAAACGTTGGTACTTTCAACACAGCGCCATCTGTTTGAATTGTGACTATCAAATAATAGACAAACATTTTGAAATAAAATAATATTGCGGGTGTAAATTGAGATGTCTTTTAAGTTAGATCAAACTGCACACGGTGTGCAAATTTGATTGATATCGGTTCGGTAGTTTAGGAGTCCATAGCGGACAAACAACGTGACACGTAATTTATATACATTAAGATTATGTCTTTTATCATTTATATTCTGTGGCTGACACACGAGTAGGTTGTAGATTTTTGGAAATGCCATTTTGTTCAATGTATTTCCGCAATTAGAACCTCACTGCACTTCAAAAGTAATTTCGCAGAATTCAAAATAAATAGTTTATATAAACTCGCAGTAAAAACTGGATTAAATTTCAAGAACATCGACTTTCGTAGAATAAAATAGCGGTTTACTCCGGCCTTAATAAATTTATTTTTGCCAATATAAACAATCGAATTCACGAAAATGTATAAATAGTTCTGTTTTTTGTGTTTCCCGGATTATAACGTTCAATGTTGTGTTCAACCTTCAAACTATTATGATTATAATCTATCAAAATCATGTTTCCATAAAGTTTATGAATAATTTGATATAAATACGTCGAATTGTCTAACTCAACTTTTAAAAATAGAACAAACAGATAGTCATCGACTTAGATATTTCGATATTTTAATGTAAGTAAAATCTCTAGGTATGTATATAAAATTCTCGTGTCGATGTTCGTTACCATACTCCTCCGAAACGGCTGGACCGATTCTTATGAAACTTTATATTCGTATGCAGTAAGTTTGAGAATCGGCTATTATCTATCTTTCAAACCCTTAAGTGATAAGGGGTGTCCACCACAAAAAAAAAATTGGATAAAATTTTATTTTTATTTTTTATTATGTGGCATTAAAAAATACATACAACCCTAACTTTTCACCCCTCTACGTTCAACTCCTATTTTTTAATATAGTAGATAGTTATTTTTATTGAACTTAAAAAATGTTTCATAGAAATAATTTACATGGCAAAACGTTTGCCGGGTCAGCTAGTTTTAGTATATAATTTACGTTCACAGATCTGATGGTTGGCCTGTTATACGTGTTTGTGGATATACTGCAGAAGATAACAATCGCTTGGCTGGCTGGAGAGTTTATGTGCAAATTCGTCAAATTTTTACAGGTACGTTTACGAATAGTAAGGCTTTTCTTTGGACAACATATTTTTTTTTCCAAAATAATACAATCAAAATTATGGTATAATACATTTGAAAAGCACTGTGGTTTGTATTAGTGCAATAATAGATTTTTTTTAAATAATTGTGAACGTCGAGCTTTTTGCAAAGAAGAACAGAATCCGTTGCATACTAAAATTGCGAATTAAATTATGTGCTGTACTATAAAAGTCATATATTGATACGTCATGTTATAAGGTCCATTTGACCTCATCTCTCATAGAACGCAAGTCATTGAAGACTGTTCTGTTCTCTGATCGAACTTTAAGAAAGCTCAACACTCAATTGATATAGAATCAAAACCGTTAAAGCTTTAATATTGGGTAATTGAAAATGGATAATATTTTTTATTGTATACAAACATAAATTTTACACTTACGTCATTACGAAATTTAAGCATGTAACAATATAAATTAGGTTAGTAAATAATTAAATTCCTTATTTTACGCAACATTATCAGTTAAAAACATAACAACTATTAATTTTTTCTCCTTATCACTCCTTGTCACTTTGTAAACAAATCATTGTTTAGTTAATTATGTTTAATGGTACATTTATTTAAAGACCGTTGGTTTATTGGTGTGTAGTAGCTGTTACATTGTTTTATTTATTATGGAAAATTAAGATAAGTGCCTTAAATTCCCATCGCTATACGACTAAATTAAGTGAAGTGCGTGACCCACAGTTCCTTGGAGACACTTAATTAACTTATTTGCTGGCGTCTTGGATTGGAGAATGGATTGATTGTCCTAGCGTGGTATAAGATTTTGTGTAACATCTATTTAGTATAAATGAAGTATTTTTGTATGAACTTGATAAACTCGAAAACTAGTAAATCAATAACATATTGCTCCTGGTGAAGATTTTATTTATTTGAAAAAGAAAACAGAAATTAAACACATTGGATGTATCCACAAAAAGTTTCACTGATATAATATGATACAGAGCAAAGCAAAACAAAACACGACAGCACAAAATTTATAAATCCGGGGAACGATAAGCATACTATATAATAAAGAAGAAAGATACAAGGATTAGGAGATTAATAGTGGTTTTAAATTATTAATGAAGCAGTAGAGGAGTGCGAAAAAAGATGTATATGAACATTATTATTGTTGTATGTGTATTCGCTGAAATATACAAAATAATCTTTATATTTTAGCCAATTCAGAGGTTAAAATGCGCTGCGAGGGAAAGCTATTTGGTATAATGTTATTTAATATACAGAAAAGAAATACGTGGCTTAGTAAACAATATAACATAAAAACACGTGCGACGTGATATGATGTGATGGGTAGTCGTGAATAGAGTATATTTGTAGTACCCGCATTGCAATATATGTCATCAATATTTAATGTAAATAAACTCAGCCAGAGTTAAATCAAAATCCTTGTCTACAGCGACAATTGTAATTGGTGTATACATAAAAATAGATTATGAAGAAAATAGACGTTTGACAGATTCTCTCCTGGCTTCTAATGTATTCTCCAAACAAAACATCACCTTGGGATACAGCAATTTTCTTTTGGGATAACTCGGGCGAAATATACAGATATATATACCACTGTTAGTAGTTAATGGCTCTTTCTAAAGATATAATACTTTAAAAGTAGTAAGTTTGTGCGTGAATTGAACTCCTATTATATGAACAGCAGCTGTCCATGACACTTATTTTTCAGTGCATTTTAAAAGATTCGTTTCAAGCTTTAAGATAATAAGTGCCCCTTAAATCTTTTTAATGCGAAAGCTCGTTTTACTAGAGAGCTTTCTCGAAGATGCTTCAAAAAGATAGTTCTTTTAAAAATAATAGTGTGATCCTAAATTAAATTTTAGATTTTTTTAAACTTTTTTAACTAAAACTAACTTTATTGGTAAGATTTTCGTTAAATTTATCTTGAACCAAGTTTTGAAGTAGATCAGTTGAGTGGTTAACGCACATGGTGTTAATCAGTGAAGTAGGTACCTGAGTTTGATTTTCGATGAAACAATAATTATACATATATAGATTATAGGTATATTATTATTGTTTTACCGCTGCCAATATTAATGGCGCTACAAACTTTGAGGACTGGGTCTTATCTGAATTTCTAATAGTAGGTGATCAAGCTTCTGTGCCTGACACAAGTCGTCGACTTGTTTGTTATAAGGCATGCTGGTTTGCTCACGATGTTTCCTTCACCGTACGAGGGAGTGTTAAATGGGCACATAGACAGAAAGTCGAACACACGACCCAAGGAATGAGAGTCGCACACTGAAAGCCACTAGACCAACACAATACAATAATTATATCGCATTAAAATAAACGACTGATGACGAACATTCATTACAGAAAAAGATAATATGTATATGTGCCTATTTATTCAAACAATATGTTCTTGTTACTTCTAAACTTTTTTTAATTTCAAATAGGATTGACACAAATATTTATTATGAAATCTATTTTATATATTAAAGAATAGCACGAATAAATTCTATTTCTTTTGGCTTATTATGTTTTCAGGCAGTAGTCATGTATGCATCAACATATGTACTTGTCGCGTTAAGTATAGATCGGTGCGATGCTATCACCAACCCAATGAATTTCTCAGGAAGCTGTGAGTATTAAACGTGTAATTAGTTATAATTATAATTAGGCTTTTAGTTAAGAATCATGTGAACTTTTCTCAAATACCATAAAATCTGAATTTGGCGGTCGTTACGAAAAATATAACACTCATGCTAGATTAATTTACAATTTTATAGCCAAAGTATGTATTAGTTTGACAAAATTTTGCCTAATCTAAAAAGTTTTTTTATGTAAATTTCAAATGGACTGTTACGTTACAAAATATATATTATTTCATTGTTTAACAATAATAAATAATAAGGCGGGATGTGAAAGAATCTACGGTAGATACATTAAAATGTGAACTCATAAGGTAATTCACCTATCTACATGTGAAGGGCGTTGACATAGAGTTAATTATATTACACAGAAATATCTTGTTAATTTTAGTTATTTCAAGGCAAATTATACTTGCTTTCCCAAACGCAGCACACGTTTTGTACTCTCAAGTGTATTAAACGTTACAGTAAAATACTTTTTCATAAATATTTGTAGGATTTATAATGTATGGAATGTTCAAATAAGTAGAACACTGTTTGAAGCTAGGTGTCAACTGTCTTTAATAGTTTAAAACAAGGGCATGAAATTAAACTAATAATAGACTTGATTAAGTGACATATTTGTTACCTATAACGCCTTTAGTACACCTACGCAATCGCATGCGGCAGCGAAACGACGAAAAAACTGTAAGTTGTATGGCAACGTTTCGCATGTGTTTTGTCTCGCTCTAATATATAGCTAGATGAAATAGTTGCGTCCTTGTCGGTATTGTTTCGCAACTAACTGCGAAATGGCTGTTACACAGACGCAGACGTTTCGCTAATGAAGTTTCGCATCGCAAGGCGTCACCACGCATTCTGTCAGTGAGGACAGAATTTCGCACAATGGAAGCCGAAAATATTGAATTATTAATGAATTTGATTCGAAATTATCCCGAATTATATTTAGTTGGGCATGTTGATTACAAAATCCTCTTCAGAATCTGAAAGCGACGACTGGGACGACTCAGATGACATTCTGAAACGACGTCTGCACCTACAGCCCACGAAAGCTACAATGACATATCCTTGCGAAAAACCTGCAGTGTACTAACGTTCCGCAGATATTTCGCTACCGCAATTATTTCGCAAAGATTCGCAGCCGCATACGAACGCGTAGGCGTACTAAAGGCGTAAAGAGTGTAAGTAATGTCGATTCGATTCAATTTCGAGTGAAGTAATTAAAAATTGAAACAAATTTAAAAAGTTTGGTCCCTGTGGCAGTGTACCTCTAATGCAGCATTTCTTCGCTGTATTGCGATACTTTTTATTCAGCTAGAAAAGGAGCAGCTCTGGGGCACCTCATCTTGGTAGTTCGTGCCTGCTAAATACCAGTACCAGATATAAAATGTCTGGTAAAATTAATGTTTGAATAGGAAGTCAGACTGTTGTTATACAAAAAACTAAAATAATACATTGATAATTTATAAAAAAATACAGTTTCAAGCAAGAAGAAAATATTTAGGGCTAACGTCACGATTATATTTTTTACACTCAGCACTCGAAATATTGAACCTTTCATTACTAAGAAGATATAATAAATAATAGAATTTTATTTTCAATATGTTTACGACCTTCGAGTCATTTTAGAAATTAGTTTGGTTAGAATGTAGATACAGATAGCCTAACTAAATACAAATTGTATTGTATAAGAACCTATAATCAATAAGCCAAACTAAGCATTAATGTTTTTTTTATTCAGGGAATCGCGCGCGTGCTCTTATCGCAGCAGCTTGGATCATCAGCATCATTTTCTCCATCCCTATATTAATTCTATACGAAGTAAAGGAAATGCAAGGTAAGAAACGTGTCGTAAATAGTGCGGTAGGAAAGATACTCAAAATTTACTATTCCAATAAATATCCATTTTCATCACAGCGCAAGTATAAACAGTAAGAGACAAACATGAACATAGGGTGAATCAACAAAGAATAAAATGCCATGAACGGCTGACCCTAATAATGTATAATATGTATATAGAGCGTGTATGTGTTAGTTTGTATGTATGGTAATAAACTACAAAATATATTTCTTAAAGTTAAAAAACAATTGAAGATCTGTTGAATGTGTTCTGAAGCTAATATTTTAAGCAAATAATAGGGTTATTAACAAATGTATGGATATGTGCCCCATGGGCATATAGCAACACGATTCATTTGAACTTGATTTTAAATAGAATTATGTTGATCTCAAAAGTAAGCTGGTTTCCGAAAAACCCTTCACGAAGGGTCAGTCTTCAACTACAAAGGTGTGTCGCTCATTGTTCCCAGATCTTTGTTCGTTTTGATCAAAACTGATAGTAAAGTTTGGAATTAGTTTTTAATTTTATGTATTACATTCCATTAAGATATTCCATTAATAATTCACGAGTCAGGAATGTTAATAATCTTTAATAAACTCTGAGATTTCTCTGGCTAAAAGGTTGAAGTACCGGAGATCAATCTGCCAATATCTCATTATCAAGATTTGTAATTACCTGCGGTTGAACTTCCAAATTCAAATTAGAATATTATTATAGACGGGTAATAAGTCGTACATATAATACTATAATGAACATAATCTATTTAATTGATGTTATATCCAGAGACTGCAATACTATTGCAACAGCAATATAACAACAGTAAATTTAACAATTTTGTTCTACAGATACCGCATAATTTTAATTATTTTTGTATGGGTAGTTAAACTTAATTTGTATGCATGTGGTCTAAGCATTTAAATAAATAAATGGATGGACCAAACTGTGACACCGTAGGATCATTATGCATAAGCAAATAAAACTAAAGTGAATATTTATATTAACATCAGACAAAATTCAAAAAACTTTTCACATTGGTATTTCATAATTTTGACGGGGCCACTACTATAAAAAAAAATTATATAAATAAAAATTCACGTTAGTTAACTACTGTAGAATTTATAATAATAATAATTTTATTGCAAGAATATGGTACAAAAATATGTAAGGTGCAATCGAAGGTTCGCATATTCTGCCACACACAATGGCGCGCAACTTTGTCTTTGAGGAAATTTCATTTTACATTATTAGTCATATGAATTGGCCAGTTTTTATATTATTTGTATCGTACATATCAAATGTTATTAAATTACAGTGTCTCACGCAAATAACCATTTATTGTATAATACATTTTTTCCAAAAGTAATACACCAAGTTGATTTTTAAAGACTCTAGTCGGAAGATCTTTTTTGTAACTATGTCTACTTCTTACTTCGACTTAAAAATATGTATGTTTCTGTGCACGAATAAGGACATTTCTAATATATAAATACAGGGAAGAGATAAAATTTTGAGCTTCTTAAATAGAGGTACGCAACTATCAAGACAGTTTGCTCCACAAATTGCTCTAATACATTTCTTTCGAGCCTTAAATACGCTTGTTTACTTCGACTGAGTTTCCCAAATTATAATTCCATATCTAAGTATAGATGAAACATATGCATTATAAGCAGCTAATACCGTATCATGGTTAACAGTTTCCCTTAGTCGTTTTAACACAAAAACGAAGCTGTCTATTTTGTTCTGTAATTTTTCAATATGTGCTTTCCAACTACAAAATGTATCTAGCGTTATACCTAAAAATACACACTCGTTCATTTTGTCTAGTTTATTGCTTTTATATTGTAAGTCTATTTGTGTTTTTCAGTTATATGTCTGAAATATATGTTATAATTATATACATAGAAATCGGGAAATTTTGATGGAGGGAGGTACGGATATCGCTACCGTATCGCTAAGATTTTCTCTTCTAGGCAACACTTATAATGATAAATAAAGACACTATAGGATACTTAAAAAAAATATATTTTGAAACTGAGCTGATTTATAAATAAATTAAACCCTTTAGAATTTTCCGATACATAAAATGTCTTTGTTCTAACAAGTATTAAATATTTCCAGGTCAACTCCAGTGCTGGATCGACCTGGGCACGCCACAGCGGTGGCAGGTCTGGGTCACTTTGGTAGCTGCCATGATTTTTGTGCTGCCAGCTTTAGCTATCGCAGCCTGTTACGCTGTGATAGTTCTCACCATCTGGACCAAGAGCAAAGCGGTGGTCATGTCCCCACCAGTTAATTCTAGAAGATCCAAGAATATGAGAAACGGTATGTAATTTTTTTAACAAATAAAGGAGTTTACATGGTTAAAAGTTAGATTATAGGGGATGCTCTACTCCTACTTACTGTCACAATTGAGAAACTTAAGAAGGACTTGGAGTCGTGTCAGCATTCAACCAAGAGTCTTCGTGACCGAGGTGTAACCTCTCATGTAAGTGGGTTGCAAATCCTGCACGTGATCCATCCCCGAGAGAATTAGTGCTAATTGCAAAGAAAGAAAATTGCACAGCTCAAACACAACGTGTTGAGAATCACACACCATTAGATTGCGGAGGCTATTTATTTTTATTTGTTGTTGATGTTGGTACTAAAATTAAGTTTCTTATTTAAATACATTTTCTAGCTCTAATGTATATGAACAACTTAAGTAAATAGTAGTGGTAATCCGGATGATTAAGCACTACTACCTATTTCTTTTAACAACTGTTTGTATAAAATTTACAGGAAATTCCAGAAAGATGCCTCATAACCTATCGTTGATAAAAAAATATATAAATCAGTGGCACTGCAACCTCTTTAGGTCAGGACCTAACCAGACCCATATTCAGGAAACCTGAGGCCTTGGCCTCAGATTTCTGAATCTGTTTCATGATCAATTTTAAATCTAATAGGAAAGTGGTGATCAGCCTCCAGTGCCTGACACACGCTGTCGACTTTTTGGGTCTAAGACATGGCGGTTTCCTCACGATGTTTTCCTTCACCGTTCGAGCGAATGTTACATGCGCACATAGACAGAAAGTCCATTAGTGCCGGGGATCGAACCTACGACCTCACTTGGCCAACACTGCTAACTCTATCGTTGATCATTATTTATTTTCAGTTCGTCTCTGTTGGTTTTATTCCCATAGCTTGTTCAGTGTTATACATGTCGTATCCATACATTAGACAGTCAGCCAGGACATGTAACACCGGCACTTCAGCTGTATTGCTACAAGGACAGGCAACACTTTGTCTCACTTTGAATCTGTAAAGATACGACAAAAATCCACCGTGACCTGTCAACATCTAGGTAATCAATCCCGTTGGTTTTGTTCCATTATTGAAAAGGCCGAAACAACGTTTGGACAGAATTACTTAGTTATTACAGCTGTTTCGCCGTTGCTATATCTGTGCTTCCATTTTTCTATCGCGTTTCCACGTAGACAGTTCTTCAAATGCGATATGGAGAATCTATTGTACACGAGTGCCTCATCTAAATGCGCAGCTTAGTCTTTACTAACTAAAATTGGTCTTTGTTATCTAATTGGAATACATTATTATTACTATTATTACAGCACTTACACAACAGTTATTCTTATTAGCGAAACAGATCCTCTTTCACGCATTTCCATATGCAAATGTACATATACCGCGTTACCACTTTGAAGATGAATTTTGGGTACACAAGCCATGTAGACAAGTAATTAGTTGGTCTTTAAGCTCAAGCGATGAAAGATCGCCCTATTTCTAATAATAGTCAATGCACTCAGAGATCTTCGGGTGTGGTAGTAGACCAGCTATTGGGTGATGGACGGGTTTGCATTAAATTGTTAAAAGTTAAATAACTTTCCATAGTAGCGTACCATCACAAAATATGAAACACACGTTTGCTTGTCTTGCTGAAGCCGCGTGCAAATTATTTGAAGAGGTCAATTAAGTATGAGGATGTGCATTGTGCATTCGAAATAAAATGTGTTTAATCAATTTAAAAGGGCATTAAAGATTAGAATTAGTGTAGAAGACTAAAATTATGATGGCCGTCTGATGGCGACGTGCATATAATAAGTTTTTAAGTGAATAATACTAAGTTGCTAATGTAAAAAAAATATTATTTTTTTGAGAATTAAATTTCTTTAAACGGTAAAGGTTTAGTCCGAGTTATGTGTAAACTGAGGGTAACTTCTTGAAACTTAGCGTTAAGTATGACTTCGGTACGTCAAATCCAATACGTTTTTGACGTACCAGTGTCTTACTTAGTGAAAACTTTGACGCCTAACTTTATTTATGGGGTAATTAGTCAACTAATTATTTAATTTATACAAAAGTTTGAAAGCGTCTTTAGTCTCAGTCATTTACTGTATTTGTCTTGTGTATAGTCCATTGAAGCAGGCTTTGTAACGAGCTACGACCGAACTAATGCGAGTACCATATAAAGAAAGGAAGGCCAATTTTAAGAAATTATAAGAATAGTAGACGTAGACATAACATTTATTACTAACAAAACACACACACAGAAACACACAAAATTACAATAGTAAAAAAATAAAAATGAGAATGATGATGATGAAATGAGAGATAACAATTTTTTTTCTTTTAAAGAACAAGATACTTTTTAAGTGTGTAATGCGTGTGTGCTGTGGTTGTAATTGGACCTGGCTCAGCATTATGCTGAGGAGCAGACTGTTCCACATAGTATTAGTTTTTGTGTTAAAAACTGATGTGATTAACGACTTGATATTGAAACTTGATGTTCGACAAATCTCTCTCTAAAACCGATGCCATAAGATCCGTAAAAATTATAACTCCGCGTCTAGTAAAAATACATTATTTTTTACTATATCATATTATCTATGAGCAATGTAGGTCTAGTTGCTTACGCGTGCACCTTACAGCCTCGAAGTCGTGCATTTGAATCACGACTGCGCACCTGCGATTTTTCTTGCTTGGTGAAAACATCACAGAAACCGGCATGTCTTAAAACACAGATTTTTGCGTTTAAGACGTATATTACGTTGTAGTACGTACGTTTAGACGTAATATTATCTACTTATTTATAGAGACTAAAAATGATCAAAGACCCGGATGCAATCGGCTATGCAACATATTATATGATATTTTAATTACTATCATTGTTACGGCTTCATTAACAGCTACGTATATAATATATCTAAAGCTTTAAAGCTTGAACATTCACGTTTTTCCTTTTAAATTTTAATCTTGAATCATTTATATTCGTATATTATCATATATTCCCCGATTAATTTAATACAGAATGCAGAAAACATTCCCCAATACATTAATCTTTCGAGATATTATGTGGGCTTAACAAGAAATAGAGACAGAAGCAACGTGTCATGGACGAAAGACGGAAATGGTATCATCTGACGGAATTCACTAATGACACTTAAGCTTGTTATACACAGGGGATATTTATTTACTAAAGAAAACATATTCATTTCTACACTATTGTAAAATTTGTTTTCATAATAATTATTTGAATAATGTATATATGTCGATATTAGAAAAGCTTGATAGATTCTTCTCAATGTTTTCCTTTAACAACCAAGGTCCAAGAGTATTCCAAATATAAGTTTATATATAAAGTTTCGGCTCAAATATAAGAGTTTTTTCTCAAACTTTAATTTTGTTCCCTTTGAAGAAGGGGTTCAAGTGCACAGGCGCTTATTAAAGATGTAAAGTTGGCGCCTGGTAGTTAATAACGGTGACCAAAGAGCTGGTGCTTTCCTCGCTCAACGAATAAGTATCGCAATACAGCGAGGAAATGCTGACAGCGTTAAGGTACACTGCCACAGGGACAATACCTTTAAAAAAAAAAAAATCTTTTTAAAGTTTTTAATTACTACAACGTGTAATAATCTTCTTAAGACGGTTCTTCACTTTACCATATGATATTTTCGAATGTTTTGTTTAATTAATAGTTAATAACATAACTCCGGACGTTAAACTTCCATTCAAAAATTATCGTAATGAGTCCAATTAAAAAACAGTTCAATACGATACATAATCTAGCTAGTTTTGGAACTCCCAGACATAAAGTATTAATTTGTATAAATAAATACTGAGAAATGTACTATGTCCTGAAACATCTAAGAACATTTTTTTTCGTTTCCAGGACAGGTGGAATGCGACCCAGATTCCCGCCGTGCCAGCTCTCGCGGCTTAATACCGCGAGCCAAGATTAAAAGCGTCAAAATGACATTTGTTATTGTTTTTGGTAAGTGTGAACTTGGCCTAATAAAGTGATGAATTCCCTTGTAACTATAATTGAACGGTGGATTTATAATTCAGTAAATGTCACAATAATGTTGCTACGTGATGTTATTATCGCGAGACATCTTTGTATTGAGTTATTTACTGGACCTAATTCTAAGAATGTTATAAATCTGAAGTGTTTGTTTAATCATGTAATCGGTATCTCCAAAGCTATTGCTTCAAATATATCATTACGTTAAGATTGAATAAATGAATACGGCGGGAATAGTTTATACTTAAAAAGTTACATTTTCTTTGTTTTATTATTTTAAAATAGAATTTATCAAAGATAATTTCGTTAGTGATTTTTTTAATGGAAATAATTTATTTATTATACTAGCTCAAATGACGAATTAATGTCGAACTGTCAATTACTATAAACAATATATTTGGGTTTATAGTGCTTTAAGAAAGTATTTTAGATTTTGTGTTATTTCATGTAATTATACATTTATGAATCCCAGTAGTAATTGTTTTAAATAAGTTTTGCATTACTAACTTCATTTCGTCCGACGAGAAAAAAACACTAAAAGGGGAGAGCTAGACTACAGCGTTGTTAAATCCATCCAGTAGTGGACCACCATTTAGGAACCTAAACTGACCACAGATTAGGTTCTAAAATTGAACCGCATTTTTTCGTAACAGAACCTAATAATTAAAGACCTAAAGTTCCTTTAAACTGCTCAACTACGGAACGATAGTATTGTTGCCATTTCTGAATTCTCACATTTAAGTGAAAAACATAGGTTATATTTCTAATATCTCTGTTAAAAAATTAACTCTAAATGTATAACTTTCAGACATGTTTAGGCCATAGTAGGCCCCCAAATTTAAATAGGTCATAGTTGTATAAGGTCCTTATAGCCTACGATATCAGTACAATAGGTTACACAATATCGTCAACAAGCAAATTCCATGAATTGATTTTCTCAAACTCGATATGATTAGAAAATGACGTGACAGCTTGATTGATGCCTTGGTTCGGGGTAATTATATACCCTTACATTATTCAGGTATAATGGGTATAATGAATACTCAAATATCCAATTTAACGATATGACCACACTGTGTGAGTCCAAATAGCGATAGCTCTTCCTTGATCGTTTGTCTAAAGATGAGGGCCAGATAAACCTCCCTTTTGCGTCTCAGACGGTCTGGTTTTCTCACGATGTTTTCCTTTACCGTATTAAAAGTGTTATTTTCGCATATACTCTTATATATTTATAATTAAATATTATTAATTATAGAATCGTTTGCAAAATTAACGAATATCGATAAATCATCACGTGTGCTAATTATCTCGAAGCGGAAATTATCGATATAATTACATTGTAAATTTAATTGGAATAACGAAATTAGCGTTACATTTCGTAAACCCGTAATATTACATCTGTATCCGGGAACAAAAATACAGTGGGATGTCTTCCCCGATTCCCAGATTTCTACTTCACTCCGAATGATTCACTCAATTTTTTTTATATTGCACGAGCGCAAGCTGCCTCCGCAGCTTAGTTCTTAGCCTAATCACTTCGCGGTTTTGCGTTCAATTCCTAGTGAAGTAGTAGTGGTTTCGTGTTGCGCACGTGGCACAGAAGACCATTATAGCGATCGACGTAAACAAAAATAAGCAATGATTGTTATTTTAAAGATTTAAATTCGCGCCTGGTATATAGTACCGGTGAGCCCAGAGCTGGTGCATTCCTTAACGAATAACCACACTTTTTAAATTTGTTTTAATTTTTTGATGTGAAACATCTATAGCCGCACGTAAAACCAAATTCTGGCGTGGTGACGCATGCTGTGGCGACGCTATATGATGGTATATATATAATATATATACAGTAGTGTGTACGGTGTGTGTATTTCGAAGTCACTGATTAAACGAATTAAGTAGTCACGATTTGAAATAAATTCGTAAATTATTGTATTTAAAGAAAATAAATGTTTATTCAATAAATAGTCATCGTTATCTGGAAAAAAAAACGTAATATTTTATTTTATCATTATGACATATATCATTATGACCTTATCACATCTGTTCTTTTCTGCATATTACTTTTACAAAATAATGTCGATGTTTCACATCTGTCAGGCGTCCCCGTGACGGCTCACATTTTTTTCAAATTAATTTTTGAAGTGAAACTTCTTTATCGAGGTTGGAAAAAAATTGAGTGTAACATTTTTTCGTTACGCGTCATATTTTTCGGTTACGCGCCATGTTGCTTTTCGAAGTCAAACTTCTTTATCGGCGTTGGAATGAAACTTCTTTATCGACGTATGGGAGAAATTTTGTAGCAAATCGTCACGTTTTTCAATGATAGTAATAATTCTATTACAATTAATGAAATAATATAATATAATAATAATAATCTTCGTAGTAATAAGGTAAAATGAAATATTTGTATTCATGTCTATGATAATAAAAGCCTTTTGTTAAACTTTATCTTATTTAACGAACTTCTGTAAAGTTGCATATAGTAGATAATTTTTCGAAAAATAAGTGTTCTTCTTACGTGTGTACACCTAGTACACGCACAATTTATTTTACTTATTTTTATTATAACTTTGTAAGTAAATAAAATAATTGTAATACTTGATTTTAATCAATAAAAATAATTTGGATGTGTACATAAAAAAGCAATAATTATTTTTCTTCAGGGCACTATTTCCGCGAAGCTGTTGTTAGTTGCTAACATTCTTCGGCGATATAAAATACTCATTCCAGATTCAATTTCAGATTAAATAGTTTATATCGAACTACGGTTCACCTTGACCAAGGCACTGTTAAAAGCCCCTATGCGTCAGTATCCCATATAAAAATCTTCCGCATTTCAATCAAAACATGTGTGAAACACCACGCCTATACTTTACTAAGAATAGCCCGCGTAAACAGCGGAAGCCGATTATCTGTGGAAGATTATCTCATTTATATGTCAGACATATTAATGATGAATGCGATCTATTTTTGACTGCCCTACGCAAGAGTTCAAGATCACAGTTGCTCTTCTAATCAAATCTTCAATTATATATATAATGGCGTGGTAAATGTTATCTAAACAAAGGCCGGCGATGCATTTTCGAGACGTCTGGCGAATTCCTTAAGCGGCAGTATCAGTTAATAGGTGATATTCCTGCCCATTTGAGTCTATTAAAAAAATGAAAATTATATTAGAGGTATTTCCGCGTGAGATACGGTAGAAACTGTCGTATTTGACTTCTGAACTAAGCGCGATGGTGCGACAGGATTTTTTTGTATAAAAATAACTGACTCAATTTAAAAAAAAATACATTTTAAAGCAAAAATTATGAAAGACCTGAATGGAACTGCACTAACGTCGAAACTTTGTGGCTTACTATACCAGAAAATTCCCTTGGAGCTAATGGTCGGCGTAATCTTCATATTGGATTGGTCTATATACCTCCCGATTCTAAGCAGCCGCAACGACTTATGACGTTTATTTCCTCATTCAGTCATATAATTAAATCAAACCCAAATGATTACTTCATAATTGTTGGTGACTTTAATCTTCCTATCATTAACTGGTCTCCCACGGGACCTATTATTTTAAAGCAGGGTACGACCCAGTTACAAGAAATCTCCGAAGATTTCATAAAAAAGTTAAATTCTTCTGGCCTAACACAACATAATTTTATTCCCAATATTTGTAACAATGTGTTGGATTTAATATTAAGTAATGTCTCTCTAGATAATACCAGAGCTGACATAGCATTGGTTAAGCCCGATATGCATCACCCCTGTTTAAGTATTGATGCAACTGACTTACTTCTGCGCAAAATGTCTCCAAAAGTTGGTCAAAAGTATAATTTCTATCGCGGTAATTACGAAGCTATTAATCAGGAACTAAGCGAGGTCAACTGGACACAGCATCTTAATGGAGACACTATAGATGAAGTTACAACAAAATTTTATGATATTGTGAATAGAACTATTATAAACAATGTCCCAATAAGCCGTAATAAATGCAATAATAAGTACCCCGTGTGGTACACTAAGTCTCTGATACACGTCATAAAAGAAAAACTAAAAGCTCATAGGCGTTGGAAAATGTACAAGAACCCGCGAGACTATGACGAGTTCTCGTTGTTACGTAGTAGGCAAAAGCGTATATCCAAAAAGTGCATGCTATCTTATGAACAGCATGTACAAGATAACATGGCTAAGAATCCTAAGGCGTTGTGGTCATACTTAAGAAACAAGAGGCAATGTAAATCTGGTTACCCTAGTAAGCTAGTTCTTGGAGATGAGTCATATAAATCGGAGCCTGAGATTTGTGAGGGTTTTAATAAATTCTTCAACAGCGTCTTCCACTCTCCTGACGATACTTATGACCTACCTGAACTACCTGAGTCAGATATCATATATAATAACATTCACATAACGGAACACGACGTCTTTAAAGCTATAAAAAATTTAAATATAAACAAGGGTCCAGGTAGTGACGGAATACCAGCAGTTTTCCTACAAAGATGTAGTAAGGAACTTGCAGCACCACTATCACATATATATAATCTGTCCCTTAACACATTCTGTGCATTCCCTTTAAAATGGAAAGAAGCACATGTAGTTCCTATTCATAAAAAAGGCTCCAAAAACAGAATTGACCATTATCGACCTATCTCAATCCTTAATTCTTTTAGCAAACTGTTCGAAAAACTAGTACATAATGTTATAAGTCCATTAATCACTAAACAACTACCGGAGCAACAACACGGCTTTACTAAAAATCGCTCAACAGTTTCTAATTTGACTATTTTTACTGACTATATACTGAGAGGTATGGATGAGGGTGACCAAATTGACGCTATCTACACGGATATAGAAAAAGCTTTTGATCGCGTTGATCATATTATCCTGTTACATAAGCTTTTCTCCCTTGGAATACGTGGTGACCTTTACAGGTGGATAAAGTCATACATAACTAACAGACGGCAAGCAACAGTAATATGCGGGTTCAAAAGCATGTTCTCTAACATTACATCAGGAGTACCCCAAGGTTCAATACTTGGCCCATTATTATTTAATGCTTATTTGTACGATATAAAATATTGTTTTCACTTTTCTAGACATCTTATGTTCGCGGATGACCAAAAAATTTTCTTAAGAATAAAATCAATAGATAACTGTAATCAAATTCAACAAGATCTTAATAGGTTAGAAATATACTACAAACAAAATAAACTTTCAATAAATATAAACAAATGTAATAAGATAACTTTTTCGCGTAAAAACAAAAAAATTCAATACACTTACAAAATCGATAACACCCCAATAAAACAAGTAAAATTAGTAAAAGACCTGGGAATACTATTAGATGAAAAAATGGGCCTATCACAACATATCGATGACATAACAGGCAAAGCGTATATGCAACTAGGATTTGTCAAGCGGTCATGCAAGACATTTAATAACATACATTGCATTAAAAGCTTATATTTTGCTTATGTTAGAAGCGTGCTGGAGTATGCGAGTGTTATGTGGTCTCCATATTATACTAAGCATAAAAAAGCAATAGAAAATATACAAAAAAAGTTTGTAAAATTCCTTAGTTTTAAAAAATACCAATGCTTCGATTGTTATGCGCATTCTTGCAATTATTTTAATTTAGAATCATTAGAAAGTAGGCGAAGTCAGCAAGACCTGCTTTTTTTACATGGTATTCTTAATGGGCGGATCGATAGCCCCTATTTGCTGTCGTTAATTTCTTTTAAAATTCCTTCTCAATATGCGACAAGACACTCAAAATTGTTCCATGTGCCTCGTACGAACTCGAATTACCTGCATAATTCACCAATGTTTCGGGTTTTATCTAACTATGACACTTATTATGAGGAATTTGATATTTTCCACCTCACCAAGGAACATGTGAGAAAATATTTGAAGGGGCGGGAAGACTCGAATTTTGTTTAGGTTGTATTTGGTATTGTTTTTTGTTTTAAATATTAAATTTCAGTTTTCTGTATATATTTTTTCTATTGATGCGCTTATTTGTTTCATTTTTCTTATATAATATTGTTTATCTATGTAATCTGTTTTGGCTTTTTGTACTGTATAAGTGTTTGTTTTGTAATATTATGTATGTTAGCTGTAAGATTACTTATAATTAAATAAATAAATAAATAAAAATCGATGACATCATCAAACAATGATTAAATTCTAGGGCCGGAGTTAGGGCAGGGCTACCGGGTTGCAGCCCCGGGGCTCCACAAAAGAGGGGCCCCCATAATAGAGACTTTGGAAAAAAGTTTTCTACGGCTAGACTAATCTCTAGTAAAACTTTTTAAAAGTAGTTACTTTTCTTAAGATATTTTTTTTCGCTGTTTTACCTTTACCTTCACCTTTGTACTACCATGATATATTGTTCTTAAATATTAACAGAATCATTCGTACAAACATGATTATATATTTTTATGTTTGTTATATACTAAAAGAATCTATTTAGTTTCACAATAAAATATAATTAAAATATAAATATAAAACCTCGACTGAAAAAAATATTTTTTGCAAAATAATTTTGGGGCCAGGGAGCCTCCACTCCTTTGTTGTCCCAAGGCCTCCAGACCTCTAAATCCGGCCCTGTAACATTATTTAATCACTAAAAACAAATAATAATAAGCAAAGAGTAATTATGCATTCAAAATTTAATAATAACATTATTCTTTTAATACCCTAAAATTGAATACCAATGCCAATTTGTAACAAATTCATAGGTTGTTTGAACACCCTATTATTACGATCTACATACCAAAACAATCCAAAGATAACAGACACTTGATATCGATCATAACTACGCTAGATATCAACGATGTTTTGATCTGTTTTAGCTTTCGTCAGCTGAAACATTTCTATTTGATTTATTCATGCAAAATGTTGAAAGAGGTTGATTACCAGTCTTTGTAATTTAACTGTTGTTTCATTTATTGACTACACTTGGCATAGGCTATCGTTTTCGTATAACTCCTATTTTTATCAATTGCATTAAATTCGTAATCCATTTATTTTTTAATTTACTATGGTCGGCGTAAGTTTATTGATTGATGCTATAAAAAGTTTTTGGCTTTTGTTTTTTCTAGGTGGTTTTGAAATAAATATCTTTGTAGTTTAGATGGCATTCGTATCAGAGTGATTATAGTGGGTTAGAAACTAGACGATGTTGATGATATTAATTTATACCTAATGGGAAAGGCAAGATATAAACTAAATATATTTTGGACGTTTAAATATATTTTATTTAAAGAAGTTTCCGTCAAAGATGTATTAAATTAAAAAAATCTAAAATAAACTAAACGAAAATAATTTTCCCATTTATCCTAAACTTTATTTCAAATTACGTATTACAGCAAAATACCTACACTAATTTAAAGGAGAATTAATTCACTTTATCGTGTTTAGGATTGTAAATAGCGCCATCTAGTATTACGAGTTTGAACTACAATAAAAAAATTTACATTCCAGTGTTCGTTCTCTGCTGGTCACCGTACATCGTGTTCGATCTTCTCCAAGTATACCATCACATACCTCCGACACAGACCAACCTGGCAATCGCTACCTTCATCCAAAGTCTCGCGCCACTCAATTCAGCAGCTAACCCATTGATATGCTGCATGTTTTCTCCGCATATATACAGTAGTTTAAGGTATGTAAATAACCTTTCTATTAATTAAGGAGCAGTGTTGGCCTAGTGGTTTCAGTGTGCGACTCTAATACCATGAGGTTATATGTTCGATCCCCGGCTGTGCACCAATGACGCTAAGACCTAAAGAGGTTGCAGCGCCACTGATTTTTGCGAACGAAGCGAACAATGGTAAGCTAATAACCAAGTACAGTTAATTCGTAAGAGAGAGAATAATAAATAAATCCTAAGAATATCATTTGTTTCTGCAGACTTCTGCATATGTTTCATTGATTAAATCTTCTATTTAAGCAAGGTAAGTGTGTGCTATTTATTTGCTGTAACTTATAATTGCGTAAAAGACGAAAATTTCATTGCACATATGGCGCACATACGCACGATTAATAGGTTCATCGCACGCTAAACCACTTGGATGATAATAAAAAAACGATTTGGATGAGTTAAATAATTTTAAAAGCCTTCTTTTTTACTAAATATAACCTGCTGGAATACTAGTTATACGAGTATACGTTGAAATTCGACCGAGAACATGGTTTACAGCTGATAGATAAACCAAAAAGCAAAATCTAAAAATAACGCAAATATTCAACGCAACAATAACTGACTTGAAAAATGTCTTCCTTCACAATGAAAATTTAAATTATTTTATCTTTCAATAAAAAATAGTGGCGATACAACCCTTGGTGTTTTCCTTCACCGTACGAGCAAGTGTTAAAGTGTTTCGAGTTTACGACTTAAGGGATGAGGGTCGCATGCTCAAGCTACTTTATAAATATGCTTATAATTCCAGGCGCGTTCCTCCTTATCGGTGGCTATGGTGTGGACAAAAACGAAAGCGTCACACGCGTGGTACATTGCGGTCGCGGTCGGACTCCACAGCCAACTCGGATCTCCTTAGTTCCACACATGCAAGGAGATCACACACTATAGCTACGGTAATTATTATTCTTATGGTATAAGCTAGCTTTTCTTGCCTTTTGCCTTTGCGTTGTGCATTTAAAATTAATGTATTTAACATTAAATATATTTTTTCATTGTATGATTGTCGGTGTAGTTATACGCATTAGTAATAGTTACTAATAGCTAAGATAGAATAGTTATGTGAAAATAAATAAACTTTATATTACCTGCTTATTCATAAACATCAGTCTAATCACAGGGTTTACTTATTCACCTGTCTCTTTTTAGCACAGCATAAACTCAATTTAAAAGAAAGAGATAAATAGTGCTTTAGTTTAAAAAAAATATTGTTTCATCATAGGACGTCGAGGCAGAATACGAAATTCCATCAGTATCACCTCGACATCCGCCGTTCCATTACTGAGCGATTTTTAATGTAGTTGCTGCCGCGCACCATTACTATGTGGAACCAGCTGCCCAAATATTTCCAAACAAATTCAACTTAGGGTCCTTAAAGAAAAGAGCAACGCACTCGCGAAGCCTCTGACATCGAGAGTGACCACGGGCGGTGGTATCACTTCAGCCTCCTGCCCGTTTGCCCCCTTCTCTATAATAAAATAATATGTCTACATAACATAACTCGTGCTTTCAGGCATTAAACCGCACATGCAGTAGCAGTATCCCAAGAACAGAACAGCGGCGCACGCAGCTTCTGGTTCTCTTGCCTTCCAAGGACTGACCCAGGCTTTCTCCAGCGCATGACGTCATGCTTTAAGATGTAGAGGATTCTCTTTTTCGTTTATTGTTGTACTATTTGAACTATCTTTAATAAGCATAGATGTTGGGTGTTACCGTTTGGTATTGTGTGCCATTTCTTAGGGCAGCTAGTTTGATGAGTTAAACTGAACTACTCTCAGCCTCTCAATATATCTAAAAATCCGATAATATCGTGTCATAGGCTTGGTTAACTATATTTGTGATTTACTGACATAAATATATGGTCTCAGATATTACATTTCACATACATCGATTAAATATAAATAATTTGTCAATAGGATCCAAGATTTTTTTAATCCCAGTTAACGATAAATGCGGTAAATAATATTTGAGTTGAGAAGCATTTATAGGTAACAGTTTACATGCAAAATACTTAACTACTATGACGCTTAGTAGACGTTAAGCAGACATCAGACCTAAAAAAAATACATTAAGCACACTTTTCGAGAGTTTCTATCGAGTAAACTATACACAATATAGTAAGTAAGTCATGTAAACAATCAAGGTCGATTGGGATGTGTTCAGGATGCAATATCCGAATTACGCAAAGGTATGTTCGTATGTATATAGGATAAGCTAACATAGTGCCAAGTTTGTATTGTTACAATGTATAAATAACTTTTTCCTTTATATTAGGTGTCATACATGTACCTTACTTTGTAAAAAACATGTCAAAAGGCCCGTATGACAAAAATAATTAAAAATACGTACTAGGAACGTAGGCCCGTATTCAAGAACGTCAATCAAACTTAAATCAGTTTTCAAAAGCTATAATTTCTTCAATTTGAACTTCACATATTTGACAGCGCTCCAGCGGAGATTGTGACTTAACTTTCGGAATAAGAAGTTAAATTACGACCAAAATCCGATAATTTGACAGCAGATGTAAGATTCAGAGATCAGAATTAGGCAAACAATCGTATGTCAAAATGTAATATGTTCTTTGCAGGATTCATCGTAAGCGCTAAGTTTTGATCCTTAGGGTAAGCCGTCTGTGAATGTTACAACCTGAGTAATTTGTATGAGTTTAAGCCAATTAATAAATGGCTATATTAAACCACACCCACACTTCTTTATGTGTTAAACTTCGTATATTCTAACCCCAAGGGGGTTATTGCCCTATATTTCTGTTGTAACTTCACACAGTTTAGACATTTGATGGAAAATGGAAGTAAAATATTTTCGTCAATACTAATTTCAATACTAGAAAATTTCTTTGTGTAGGATCTACTGTTACACAAAAATCAACGTTACTTATAACCTTACATCAGAAGTGGTTTAATGGTTTTTGAGATGTCACCAAAACGGTGGTGTATAAAAAAAACAGCTTTGTTGAATTTCCTAATTTTACGGTACTAGATTTAAATCGTAAAGGATCGTTTCAATATGATTTTTTTTAAATTTAATACGCTTTTCGGAGGCGTACAATGTTAATACTAGGGTATCCCAACAATGGCACAGAAACGCAAACTGATAATTTAAAGTTGATAAAAAGCATTTTTTTAAATATTCTTATTATAATTGAACAACTACCTAGAATACTTTGCAATTTGTCCATCACTCTGTCTACCTTATAGGCTACGTTTCATTTGAATGTATGATTGTTTTATCGTGCACGTTTAAAAAACCACCAGTGTAGACCAATATCCTTATTTTATTCAGTATTAGTTGCAAGTTACTCAGATTTTACAGTCCAAAGACTCGGTTAGAAATATTGCTGCGTAAGTTTCGAAGTCAAATTTATATTAAAGCTAAAGATAATTCCTTGTATAAAGTACAATCCTAGTCCAACTGAATTACAGAGGCGGTTTCTCACATGACTGAATACTGTAATGTATAAAAATATCTCTATATGCAAATCTATTTATCACATGTTTTTGGATTGATCTAATATAAATAAGTCATAAGATCTACTAAATTATGCATTAAGTGTTTGTGTAAACTATGTCAATAGCAATATTATTGGCTAGATTCACTGTGTAAGTTCATAAGTAATTGGTTTATCCTAAAGTCTAATTCCACCATTTTAAGTAAAATACTCACCTTTTTCATCAAAGCGTAAACAAAATTTGACAGAAAGACACAGAAGAGCTTTAGTTAAAAAAGTGCAATTAGACTGAATTTTTTGGATAAGGAATTTTCCTATTGAACTGCGAGTATCTTTTCTGTTCTTTCAGAATATTGCTAAGTTACGGGACGAGATAAAAAAAAATACTGATTAGGCACTAATTGTCTTATTAGCAAAGTATTATGGAACGGGCAATGCATATTGTAGTGCTGTATAATTTTTTGCAACAAAGCAAGATTATTGCCACACTTGTATTGGATCTACTTTTTTAAGAATCTTATAAATCAAATATAAATGTCGTCCATGAAATAAATATACCAAAATCAAGTTATAATTGGATTTTTGGACATATTTTTTCTTAGTTCTTGGCGTTTTTGTGCCTTTAAGAATAAATAATATTTTGATTATTTTGTCTGTTTTAGATTAGTTTCTGTTTTACATAATGTTTCTAGTCTAGTAGTTTTATATTTTAAATGTAATCTTAAATCAATGGACTAATATTACTTATTTAGATGCTACAATAGGATTAATTATTTTAAAATTTCATGGGATATGCCCCACCTTAATGCATTTCTTTTTCAGCACCTTTGAAGTTATACTATACAATATCTAAAATATGTCAAAATAAGCATTTATAGGTGTATAAATTATGTACATACTATGCATGGAGTATATATAGCATAAATGTATAATTATTTTTGTATTATATACCGGATATAAATACAATTAAAATATTATACTCCTGAATGTGTTTCATTTTAAATTTCCTATTTACTATTCTACAATAAACTATTGGGCTTCGATGTTAATAAATTATATTTAAGTATTTAATAAATATGTTATTTTTAATAATATTGATAACTATTCTTATAGGAAAATGTAGAAATTGAATTTAATTCAATAATGTAGTATTTATTACAATGCAACAGCATCTGGTAAAATATTTGCAGATGGTCACAGGAACGAGGTACGCAGAAAGCACCTAAATAATGGTGCAAGAAGAAGAGAAAGGAAGAGACTGAATGTGGTCGTCTAACGACAGGAAGGAGGAGTAGGGCCCGATAGTTAACACAGCATCAAACGAGAACTTTAACAATGACTACCTGCATTTCATATAACTAATGACTATGGGATCACTATTACCTACTGACTATTATCAAACCATTAAACCATGAAAATTGGCTAATTGAATTAACCACAAGTACCACGGTTTTAAACTGATTCAACTCGTACTTGGACTTTAATTTATGAGATCTGTAATAATGAGAATAAATAAATAAATCAGTGGCGCTACAACCTCTTTAGGTCTTGGCCTCAGATTTTTGAATCTGTTTCATGATCATTTTTAAATCTAATGGGCAAGTAGGTGATCAGCCTCCAGTGCCTGACACACGCCGTCGACTTTTTGGGTCTAAGACATGTCGGTTTCCTCGCGAAGTTTTCCTTCACCGTTCGAGCAAATGTTAAATGCGTACATAGAAAGAAAGTCCATTGGTGCACAGCCGGGGATCGAACCTACGTACATTGAGAATAGCACCTGATAGTAATGCCATTACTCCGACATATAAAATACATTCAAATATAACATACATATTTCTGAATATATTTTATTGTTTTTTTTCCATAATTAAACATACTTTAACAATGTTGAACTTGAGTAAATAAAACATCCACAATTACTTACGAAATATTAATTTATCACTGGGTTATTTGGAAATATCTTTTTCCAATTTGACCCCATTCGCAATATCACCCGGAGCGGCAATAGAGGTCTATCGCAAACAAACTTTGTACAAACTGAAAGTTATCGAAATGTTCCCTTTTATTGAATTGTCGATGTCGGAAGCCTTATATACTTCAAACATATGTATATACAGGAAACAGGATGTTTTGCAATACAATTTTTCAGATATGTTTTTCTTAATAATTATTTATGTTATTTGCGACTTCGAATGTTATGAGCGTAATGGCGGCAGAGTTTTTGTTGAAAAAAGGAAAAATATTGGACTCCCGTAACCACACTTTGCTGCGTTGTCTGTTATACTAATCCGTTTCCTTTATAGCCAAGAAGGTAAGGCCCTACTTGCGCCAAGTTAATTCGAGCAGTGTAATCCACTAATAATATTTTTTTTAACACAAGTAAATTCCAAATCTCTAGTAGTAGTCTTTTAGTTAACGCAATTTACTTCAAAAGCTAATAAGAGTCTTTCGGCAAGGGCAACTGCCTTGCGATTCTGTAACTCACTTTTCGAACTCACACAGCGGTTTTCGCATCGGCGGTCGCTCTTAAATCATTCGTGAAGCAGTCATTTTATGATTTGGCATTCTGAAAAGGTGAGAGCTTGTAGTTTATTGTTTATCAATCATCTTGAGTTACAGAATCGCAGGTCTGATATTAATTCTTATTGTTACACCTACCTGATTATTCAGTGTCTATTTATTTGTAATGTATTTTATATCTTACAATGTAATTGTATATTAGACACCTACACAGGTTTCCTTAGAATGTGTTCTTTACCATACATATAATAAACTTATCTATGGAACAACGGTATTCTACTAGTTAAGAATCTCACTAAGCGCGTTTTTAACCTTAAAGCTGTATTATATAAACGTACATCGTAAATAAAGCTTAACGCCCTTAAGCCCTAACTTAAGCAACAATTAATTGAAAAACTTTTGAGTTTATTGAAATTAACTCGGTGTCATTGTTACATTCACCGGTTGAGATAGGTGTGCGGGAATTTCAATTACTTTTCTTTCGCTTAAATAAATAAAAATACGTGTAAGCATGTAAGTATAGAGGATTCATTTTATCCTCTGTTATCAAATAGGTTACGTAAAACCAAAAACTGTTACACATAGAATTGTTAATCCCCTTTCTCCCGTCTTTG